CCCCTTGACTATGATCTTGGCTTTGGGGATGCCCCACTTTAAAAGGTTATAGGAATATATAGGGTGTCTGCCATCGTGATTTATTTATGGATTGTAGCTTAGGGCGTCACCATTTATAACCAAATAGCTTTATAACAAAGTGACCCGTTTTGTTTTTGGTAGGTAGTATACATATCTCGTGACATCGTAACTGTTAATTCAGTTATGATACCCACTTTAAAAGCGTTAAGCGATGAGTCATTTTTGTTGAAATGTTTTGTTGGTAGATTCATTATACATGCATTACAAAAAATTAACTGCTTTCAAGATGTCCAGGTGTAGCATGTATTGTTAAAAAAGCTATAAAGTAGGTCGACAATGTTATTGTCATTTATACACATACCGGTGTTCCACGTTCGACTCTCAACTTTGGGATCTCGGGGATGGCAAGAGTTACAAGACGGGGGCAAAGTTGTGTAAAAAAAATAATAGAAAATGCATTTTATACCACTTATCGATTATATTGCGTAGTCACCAGAGAAAATTGGTAATTGTCGACTCCACGAAAGTTCTCGAAAGACTCTTGAAATACTAAGTCTCCACATTCTAACATCATCACACACGGAATTCAAACAGTTGAAAAGGCACTTGATGTTCGCACAGACGGGGTTCGATCATTCCAAGTATGGACTTTCCTTAATTCCTTATACTCAGTCATGATCTCAAATGATTTCATACACAGGCAGGGACCATTAGAACGTTTTGAGTAATATCATTATAGTACAGCTCATCTTTTCGATCGAAAGTTGTGTGACATCCGTTGATCTTTGAAGTCTGTTGACTTCCTTACTTGGATGAGGTAGGTCGACTTCGAGAGGTCCATTGACTTCGATACTTGTACGAGATCCGTGGACTTCCATACTTGGATGAGGTCTGTACTTCGTGAGGTCCAGGTAACATATCAACTATATTTCAAGCTGAGGTAACAGCCATACAAGTATGTGCAAAAGAGCTAATAACGAAGGAATCTATAAATCAGTCATCTGCTAAGACAGCCAAAGAGCCATTTAGGTATTGAGCTCATCGTCTATATTGGTAGAGGGATTGCGTTAATACTCTCAAAGAGCTGGGTACCACGACATGAAGGACACAAAGGAAATGAAAAGGCGGATGAGCTCCCCCTACAGGGTGCGGTCAATCGTCTTATAAGTCGTGAGCCTTTCAGTGGCGTGGCGAGAACATTCATCACAGAATCTGTAAGAAATTAGATTAGTAATTCGTCACTGGAATGTTGGAACAGCCAGTCAGGGCAGATATTACGAATCACAACTCCAACAGCGGAAAGCTACATGGAAAGCCTTGTGTCAAGGTTACGGAGTCTCATTAAAAGATCAAAGCTGGACACAGTGCTTTAGACAGAGTACATGAGGTTCACAATAGATCTATATGAATCGCAGAGGCGTTAAGGCTAGCAAGCCACCACTTTTCTGTAATCTGTAACTGTAATTTAGGCTTTTAAAAAGTTACGCAATCGAGAGTGTTCCCAGAGGTATGCAGATCATAAAATACGGATTTTCCCAAAATCATTTATATTTTTTCATGATTTTATTTGTCATTGTACTTCAAAATAAATTGCACATTCACGTTGCAACTCCTCTACAGGGTAGCCTAATTAGAATTTCAATATTTTTTTGTAATTCTCATCATAAAAATGAGCATGCCTCGATGTTATCAGCCAGTTTATCTATGAACTGAGCATAGGTAAAGAGTCTGATTTTAATGATGTGGAATTGTATACTATAAGACTTCAAATGTCTGAAAAAGTAATCTTCCTTTAGTTGCTCTTATCCAATAAGGAACTAAAAAATAATATTCTTAGATTGTTGAAGGACAGTGATGAAAACAATGAAAACATCACAGGAAACATAGAGGAAGATCACAGATGTCATACCAAGAGGGTCCTTCATGCTAAAATAGCGGTTGTTATATACTCGGGTAGAAATGAAGAGAGCAGCAAAACAAGTCGCACATCACTGCAGGCGAGGCATCTATCTGAATTCGGCGGAATACGCGAGCACCGACTTTGTCAGTTACGTCGCACCAGCAATGACGTGCGATGTGTTTTGCTGCCCTCTTTATTTTCAGCACCAAACTATAGTCGATAATAGAGAAAAATGTCATCTGAATCTACTTTAAACACGCTTCTCAAAAATTGAAGTAATATTTTTCATCACTGTAATCGAATAAATAACTAAGGTTTCGCAGTATTAGTACAGGGTGCTGCAGAGAGGATTAACGGTTTTTAAAAAATCATAAAATAGTTAATTTTTACTCGAAAACAAATTTATTGATGAAATCAGGTTCACAAGGGAATAGCATTTGAGACAGTCAAGTGTGGAAAATCACATCAGGCATGTGGTGGCCGAAATCGTTGATGCAGTGCTGGAGGCGTTCTTGGAAGTTCGCGTAGACTCTCTCCAACATCGCTCTCTCAACTTGGGCGACTTCCACGCGAATTTCGCCCATCAATTCGTCCAGAGTTCGGGGCTTGTTCGCGCATACGCTAGCCTTGAGGTGTCCCCATAAGAAAAAATCGCATATGGATAAATCTGGGGACCGAGGAGGCCAATGAACATCGCCAAACCTGGAAATAAGGCGACGAGGGAAGAGAGGGCGAATAACATCAATGGATGCTCGGGCTGTGTGTGCGGTCGCCCCATCCTGCTGGAACCACACACGTCGGATTGGAACACGTCGCCGTCGTAATTCAGGGAAAAAGAAGTTGGTGATCATGTCGACGTAGCGCTCTGAGTTCACGGTAACATCACGACCATTACCGTCTTCGTTACTTTTGAGCTGTGCAGCGGTCTTTCGTGTAACTGTTGCGGATTTTCATTAGCCCAATAACGACAATTCTGCTGGTTAACCATGCTGTTTAGGTAAAAGTGGGCTTCGTCACTCATCAACAAAATGAGGTTCTCATTTTGATCGAACAGTGCTTCCATCTCACGTGCGAAGATCATTCGTTGTGCATAATCTCGGGGCTGCAACTGTTGCACAATGGCCAATTTGTAGGGGTGAAAGCGGATATCCATAAGCAAAATTCGCCTTACCGAACGATCACTAAGGCGAAGTGCAGCAGCATGTTTCCGGGCAGATCGAGTCGGACTGCGAAGAAAGACCTGTCGAACGCGTTCAACATTTTCAGGAGTTCGAACTGTTCGCGGCGCTCCTCTTGGTCTTCTGTTGATCAGTTCACCACGCCTGAGAAGTGATTCAACCCAACGAAGGATGGTGTTTCGAGAGGGAACAGCTCTATTCCGATGAATGTTGAACTGGCGACGAAACTCACGCTGTACGACAATGACTGACTCATTATTTCGGACGAAACAATCATAGGCGAAAACGCGGTGCTCCACCGTCCAAGGCTCCATAACGACAAGTGGTAAAATAATGCTAGGATCTCATGAGTTAAACGGCACCCTCCCCACCTCTCTCGTAGACGGTGGCGGAGAGTACTACCCATCCCAAAAACGTCCGTCCTCTCTGCCGCACCGTGTATATGGCATATTATTATTATTATATATTACGCTACCCTGTAGAGAAGAAAATGTGTCAATTTGCGCTTTTTTCAATTCCACCTCAAATAAAGTCTGAAAAAAAGGATTGGGAAAATTCGGTTCGGAAATGCTCTCAATTGCGACACTTTCTACGTGCCATTTTCTTAAGTGTAAATGGGCAACTTTAGCCCCATTTAACCAGTATCATATCTCTTACCGTTTTCCAAAATCCCAATAGTGAGAGCGTAATTTGAAACTCAATACTCATTAATGAATTATATGCAAATACGGGTTAACGTCTTTTATGAAGTAATCGCTGTGTCAACACTGAAAATTCAGGAATGAGCTAGCTATCAGATTGGCAGAGTGCATTTATTACTGTCGACGCGTGGCTATTCCCATGTGGTCCACAATGTCTTCTTCATCAGAAAACTCTATGAAATCGTAAACTCGGGGAATTTCTCTATCTGAATCTGATGGAAATCAGGTTGAGATAATTTTTAAATACAGAGAATAAGGAATGTACTCAACCAAAATCACACCTTCAACCTTGTTTATACTTAAGCGCTATAAAATTGCGAATGTTAATTAAAAAAAATATTCGACTTATGACTAGCCCAGTCTTTACTGGTTGACCAGCCTCATTTGTGTCAGGCCTGTCATTGACTGCCAACCTGTCTGTTTGATCTTTGATCAGTTCGACAGAATACAGTTATTTACCGGGTTGTATTTATAACTTTCTCGTGTATCCCAGACCACACAGAGACTTAGTTTTTGGGATATAGCCTTCCCAGGTGCAAACCAGAATGATAGTGGTTTATAGTTTTATAGAAGAATCTTCTCTAATGGCAAGTGGAAAAAGATAAATCAGCTTTGTAATCTAAGGTGAATAAAAACTAATCATATTTGGGCAAAATGGTAGCTTTGTGTTCTGTGCTCACGTCAAAATGATCTTCATGACAGTTACTTTTTGGGGATATATTATCCCTTTCCATAATTCGAAATCACTTTTCTTGTATTTTAGCATCTTAAGGAATATGAAAAAATACCCTTTGGTCCGTTTTTTTTTTCTCATTAAGCCTAGAGGATATAAAATAGAACCTTTGGAAGCTCGAAAGCACATTAAGCACACAGAGAATCAAATGACATCTCCAGGTTTATGACGTCATTGCCTGCGGCGCCAAAAATGCTGCGTTTAAATTGTCATTGGCCTTCCAACCTTAAATATTCAATTGAAAATAAATACAGACATGAAATATGTGTTTACGGTATTATATTAACGTAGACAATCGACACGAAATGCAAAGAAACATGCATTCCCCATTGAATATTTCAAATTCCGGTCCAAACTCACTGCTGAAGTGCGTGGATGCTACATTTCCCTAATTGAGGAATATGCCAAGCCATTCATTTTGCATAAAAAAACTGAAAGTACAGACTATCAGCTACAGGTATACTTACTCTTGCTCGTTCCTTCTCGATGTTTTGAGCTAACACATCCTCTGCATATTCTTTGATGATCTGCCAGGCAATGTCTGAAATTATATAAAGACTCAGCAAGGTCAGAAGCATATTAAGGGATGGCATTTCATATGTTCTATCCACGAGTGCGGTAGAATTGAAATGATAGCTGGAAAATAATCCCAAATATTCTGGCAGCAATTGACGTTATCAACAACAACAAATTTGTAAATGCATTGAACATGGTATTTAGTTATGAGACTTATGGGTACGGTATTATTGAGGTAGCAACATGCGGATAGGCATTATATCGATAGATCATAGGGTCATTAAGCATTTGGAGAAATGGCGAGAAATAAGGTTCCAGAATGTCCTAATGGAAACTAAATGTGTCCAAGCGCAATATTTAATGGCAACTTTACAATACTTCTTACTCCGCAACGCCTTCTTTCTCGAGCCCTTCCATAATGGCTAAACAGAACCGAGGTTATCGCAAAAAACAATATTATACCAAAGTGTGGTTGTATCACGAGAAGGCATTAAGCCCGATTTTACTGAGCCAGGGCGCACGTGGGTCACAAATTCAGCCAATGAAGAGGCGTCCTTGAAGTATTGGATTTCTTGAAAAATATCTCTCAAACTAGAGAAAAAGTACACGATTTCTGCAAAAAGGACGCCTATACCCCATTCGTAGTCCATTTACGCCCAGACAAAACACAACATGCCCAAAAGCAAGATTGTACAGGTCCGTATATTCCTCAATGGTCTTGGAACAATAAAAAAGTTATTATTTTTATAGCAAGAAGTGCACATACTTTTCACATTTCTTTATTCGCTGGAACTACTTGAATCATGGTCTGAATGGTTAATATGAATTATTAGAGGTTCAATTAGAATATCGATCATATTGTCCAGACCCCACATCTTTGTTTCGATTGTCTCTTGAACGTGACGGACGCAATCTTTGCAATGGTTTGTCGTCACTTTGTTGATAGCTTCATAAAACAATTTTTTCACGTCAGAAAATTTGAATGTTCTATTGTTTGAAGACACATAGTTTTTTATATTTGCAGAAATCATTTCAATGGGATTTAATTCGCAGTGATAAAGTCTTATTTTGGTTTTTAGCCATTCCGTCAATGACATTAAGATTATATTTATATTTGTTCTGCCTGACTAGATGGATAACTTCTGCTTTGACCATATTGTCATACTGTCTAGGAGCCATTGATGAATTTCTGCCTTTCTTGTGGACATTGTGAGAATTTTTTCTAGTTTCAGTGGTCACAACGCGTTTTTCACTGCCAATGTGACAGATAACAAATCGTTTTCCTTTTCCTGGAAATAATTATTTCATAAAATATTCAAGAAAACTAAAAATACAAGCAGAGTATCTAACAGGTGTTGGTTCCAAATCTACCAGATATAGCTAAGTTTAGTGTAGCTAAGTTTTCAGCGTGGGCTCATAGATTCACCATTTTTACAACACAAATTGGTTAGATACACGTACTGACTGATTCTTTAGGCCAGTGGCTAGTCCATCTAAGAAGGATTGTCTTTCTGATTTAATTGCCAGCACATAGTTTAGGTTTTGTATGTCCTGCATTTATCCAGGTTTCATCCAAGTAATAAATCTTCCTGCCCTGGTCGCGGTATTTCTTTAATAATCTTAAATTTCTTCTCCGTAAAATATTCTCTTGGCTGTAGATCAAAATACTATTTCTGCCCCGTTTTCTGTACTCAAAATGAAGTTCTTTGAGTAAGCTATAGAATGTGGTCCTTTTGAAAGTAGGTAAGTATTCATCACTATTAACCTCCTGTAATACTTTGTCTATGGTGGGAAGTTCCTGCCTTTAAAAAATTAATGGACTTTGCGTCTGATGGCATTCCGATCAAAGTGTGTGGTTGAGAAAATTTTTTGTTTTCTTGTATTCTTTAACAATGTTGAAAATTGTTTTAGGACATAAGCCTGTTTTGTTCGCCTCGCGTCTTTCAATAACATGAATTTTCATTTCAGGATGCTCTGAAATTTCTATCTTATGAAACGTTAACGACAATTTCTTTTCCCTGAATATTCAAATGTACCTTCTTGTCGCGTTTTCCGGAGGATACATCACTGAAGAGGAAGCATGGCTGAAGGAAGCTTCGGGAGAAATATTCTCAGTTTCACCTGCTGTATCAGTAGACAGCATGCTAGCGTATAAACACACCGAATATGAACACCAACTGCCGGCGTCGGCGTGCCGGGGATACCCCGAGTCTGAGTTCTATTCTGTCGAATCCTGCACTTGTTACCTTTATGGCCAAATGACAATAGCTATTGCAACGCTTAGGCGACAGCATTTAATTTTTTTTTGAAATTACAGTGTTGCACTGGTGATGTACAAAATTAGAGAACGCGTATTCTTTAACAAGCATCGAGTAAGTACTCAATTTACTTGACTAATTTGGGAAAAACCCTGTTCCTTAAGACAGCCCTGTTAACAGACAGCTCTTGCGGTCTTTCGTGGGCAGTAGGACAATTACTTCTAGCCTTTATATATTGCACTAAACCTGAAAGACTCGCTGAGCAAAAAAGATAAAACCGTTGTAAAGTAAATAAGAGAGAAATAAAAGATAAAAGAATAACATATACCTATATCGGCTTCTTTGGCGTTGACGTCATTCACAGAGAACCTGATGATGTATTTCTCATTTACTTGAGCTGGTACCATGTGCAGTCTTCCAGATTCATTGATGTTCAACAGCAACTGCTTGTTCAGTTGATCTGTACCTTTTAGACGAAAACATACTAGGCCTAACTGGAATAAAACAAACATTCGTTTGGATAGAAAGTTTCCCAATGAGACTCGATCACTGCTGATATAGAACAGAGCAACAGATGTGAATATGTGCAAAGTATTAGACTGATTCTTCCTATGTGTTCCATTTTTACGTCAATGGATTGGAGGTTGAAAGAGTCTACTACTGAATTAGAGTGATTGCTTGAGTCATGTTGACTTTAAAAGCACAGCTAATGCCATAATGGTCATTCTACATAAAGACATCACGCATAAGGTCAACGAATTAGGACTAGTTCAGTAGTAAGGATACAAGTGCATACCAGAAGTCTATCTTTTTCTGAGAAACCATGTAAAAGTGCGTTGATCTCAATACAGTCCAGTTGCAGAAAATTGTGAAGGTTTTGCGTGTGCAAAAACCAATTTGAACAGCATAAGATATACGAACATTTTTAAAGTAGGAAGCGATTACGCATTGTGCTCGCGCATCCTGCCTGGTGACGTCCATTCAACCTCGGTCGCTCTTGGCCAGTCTTTCACCCCGCTACCATTACATTTCACGCGTCTGTCAGTGTTGATTGCGTAGTTATACTACTTTGTTTGCTGCTATGGCACTCAGTAAACCTTCCGATTACGAAATGCGCTCAGTAATTCGATTTTTATACGTTAAAAAGTTCGTCATGCTGTAAATAAAGCTCATACGCGCTATAGAAAAAGACCGCCCAACTAACAATTAGCGCTCCTATTAGAGTTGCAAGAATGATTATACAGTATTCCTTAAACAGCATTGTATACTGTAAGAACATTGGCAAAACCCTCTTAGAACAGCTATACAAACGGAATGGGCACACCTAATAGGACACTTCAGTCATTTAAGAGGTTGTATAAGGGCTGCAGGTAACAGTTATACAACAAAAGTGTAAGCCTCTTGTAGCCGCTATAGGACATTTGCGTCAGTGCAAGATTCAGTTTTTGTCAACTATACAACTATTCTGTTACGTGATTCTACTTTATTGCAACCAAACTATTTCTTATGTATTGTATAGACGAAGTGAAGAATATATAACTAACACATTACAGTCATTTTGTTTACTTACATATCGGCCATTGTGAGTTTCAAGGACATGTATATGATAAACTTCTACACTGCGATATAGGGCTATTGAATTACTTGCGCAACAAATTTTATTGTGATTATCGTGCAAATTAGTTACGCAATTTCTACGGGCTTCGTATTTGATTCATATTTTGATAATGATCAAAAGTATGTCTAAATTTTTAAGATGGAAAACTGAACTTATCTGCGTTAAATCTTCCACAAATCCTATATTTAGACACAATTACAATAATGTTTATCACTTTGTATCCGTAATTTCGAACTGAAATCATAATTATTTAATATTAAATAGAGGAATAAATGTTTTCCCAATATGGCGGGTGGTTGTGTATAATCATGGCATCGTTCATGTTGTCTTTAGGTTAATAGAATATTTTGGTGTTGCCTGCAGGTGTTACACAACAATTTGACAAATGTCTGAAATGAAATACTGACAGAGTCGAATGATTTACCCAGAATTTGTACCAGACCTATGTCTTCTGTTTGAACAGTTGATAAAACCTTTTGAACCAATATGCATGCGTTGTTTGTCTTAAAACATTATTATTATGGCATTTTAACAAAAATATGACAGCAGAAAGTTAGGTAATGGTGAAGTTGTATACCAACATATTTAGCATATGTACAGCCTTTAACAGTTACTAAACAACAGTTGTATAAGTGCTTCCGTTGGGAGCAATTTGTTGGCTAAAGTAGTAAATTGCACAGCAAAACAACAAGGCTCGGGTTTGTTTTATAAACGTTACCATGGATGCCACAACACAACCATTTTGACTAACGTGCAAATATGCCGTATAAAATAGTTGTATAAACGTTTATGCAACAGTTACAAATTTGCCCTATAAGGTGTTGTATAACTATGCTATAAGAATATTTTAAACACCTTATTTTAGAGCAAATATGTTGCAGAAAGCAAATTTGCATTCCACACAACATTAAGCCAGCAGTTTGGAGTTCAGGAAACAACAATAGAGAGCTTTTATGGCTGAACGGTTCTTTTACCAAAAGCTTATACCACTACTTTGCTAGTTGGCGGCGGCGCCTGCCCTCTAGCAGCATCAGTCTGCTTCATGGCAACGCTCGGCCTCACGTAACGGCAAAAAACACAAAGCAACTGGGCAAGGTTCGTTAGGACTTCTTTGCATAGCAGCCATACCGTCCTGACTTAGCCTCATCAGGCTATCATCATTTACAAAAAGTTCTAGAATTTCTAGGAGGCAAGCGGCTTGGAAAATTGATAGTTGACAGGAACAATTATAACTGGTTTAGGGCCAGGAGGCAGCGTTCTTGACAAGGGACAATGTTCAACGATGACTTATGCTTTGTGTAAGTGAAAAAATATTCATATTTTATTTGGATACAATTTACGTTTATAATTAAAGTTTCTCTGCCTCCATTACAAAACAGTTTTTACTTAAAAATGGCTCTCGTATGTAGCCATGTATGGTGCACAAAGACTTTCCTTTCGCCGGCCCCAAACGTCAAAAAATATTAATTGGCATTTATGCGTATTGTGTGAAGCTATCGTCTGAAACAGCCGGAATTATGGACGAATAACTCTTGGTTCCTTCATTACGATAATGCATCATGTTCCGCAACCACCGTATTCGCCTGATTTGGCTCCGTGCGACTTCTAGCTATCCAGCAAACTCAAAAGGACGCCGTTTTGACATGACTGAGGAGATAAAAGCCGAATTGAAGAAAGTCTTGAAGGCTATACCGGCAGAAGACTATTCCGACTGTTTCGAGGACTGGAAAAAGCGTAGGCAAATGTGCGTTTTATCGGACGGGGTTTACTTTCAAGGGGATGAAATTGATTTGGAAGCATAAATAAAGAATTTATATTTTTTAAACAATTTCACCTTACTTTTTGATCACAGTATGTTCTACGGGGAACAATTCAACGGTTTTCATGCTCCGAAATAGCATCTGTATATAAAGATTTCACAAGTTTTTGAAGACCTCGCTTTTCTATCTGTTTCTGCTAGTGTTTACAATCTATCATTGACACTAACCTTTACTTCGTTGCAAACCTCGAACCGCGTATCCTTCCGCACCAGCTCTTCAAACTTTTTAGCCAACTTGATGTGATGCCGTATATAGTTCTGTAGGCCAGATATCCCAAAACGTCTGAAGACGAACCATAGCTTGAGTGATCTGAACCTTCTGCTAAGGGGAATCCCCCAATGTCTGAAATCTATGCTCAGGTCCTTGGAATGTGTGTGTTCTAAGTACAAGGGGTTCACTACTAGGGCTTTGGTTAGCTTCAGCTTGTCTCTAACCTAAGGAAGTTGAAAATAGAATAATGCAATATTGATAAAATGACAGTTATTTTTAAATTCTGCAGTCGTAAGGGGGCTAGAGTTAAGCTCCTTAATAGCTGTTGCAATTATAAGTATTAGGTGGCGTAATATTTTAGTTTGTTAATCAAGAATACAATGTTTTGGACTACTAACGGACAGGCTTGAAACCCTTTCACACCGACAGCACCTGACGATCGGCGATCTGGATCTTTTTTACCGCTATGCTAACGGGTTTTGCTCCTCAGAGCCATTGACTAACGAAGATAGCCAACCATGCAATGCATGTCAGCATCCAGAAAGTTATCCTAGATGAAGTGAGGCATCATCCGTAAAAACTCGGCGTAGCTATGTTTCTTCTCCCTGCTTTAATAAGAAATCTACCTTGAAAAAGTTAGAACTTCATAGACGGGCGCTGTAGCCAAATATACGAGCACATCACATCACAAGACCCCATTCCATATAAAAATGTCTTACAAGATGGCTCAGCCCATCTTGAAATTTTAAATTGTAATTTTTATGTTAAAATTTAGTACTTATGCATCCATTTCATCATCACAAAGTATCCTGCCAAAACATATAGAAAATGAGCCCCAGGTAAGTTGCCTAAAAATTCAGTATTACATATTTCTAGCATTTCTAAACAAAAAGCTGTTATGGGACTAAAGCAATCCTATGATTAGTTGATGAGAAATAGGGGCGTGAAGTTTGCCCGACACTGAAAAATGGTGAATGTGTAGATTTTAGTTTTCAGACCAAATATTTGAGAGATTTGTTGTTCTGAAAGATACATTTCATTAAAAACTTTGTTGCGATGCGTCATATTGATCTCGACCATGATCCTTAGAAGGTGAATCAATCGAAAATGAAAATGCAAATGCAGCACTTGTACTTGAATATTTCAGAACAGTCTACATCGGCGGTTAAAACAAATAAACCCTGTCGCCTGGAAGCTGAAAGACATATAAATAAATAAAAGTCATTGTCTAATTGATTATATGTCATTAATTTGGTTTGTACTTCGGACAAGACTGCCGAGGCAGCCGAAACGTTACTAAGCTAGTCCTTTCAACTATTGACCAATAACATTAATGTCCAATTTAGCAAAGGTGTTTGAAAAAATCATCAAGATTAGGCTCATTAGTTTTTTCATTAAAATAAGCTGATAAATGAAAATCAAATAGATCTTAAAAAAATAAATCCACGCAAGGCGCGGTTTCTTTCTTAACTTCAAAAATTAATTATTATTAGAGCAAAGTAAACATACATTACGTATATTCTTAGACCTAGCAAAATCTTTCAATACTCGCTATTATTGGAAACTCTAGAATCTAGATGATGCAGGAATTAGAGGAAACGCTCAACACCTTATGAGAGGTAACCTCTTTTACAGAAAGCAATATGTTAAAATAAAAGTGCAGAAAACACTCTGACTTAAGGGACAGTAGCTTTGGGCCCATTATTTTGTACTGTGTACGTCAATAGCCTACTTAGCTTGAAGCCACAAGGCACAATAATGTGCTTTGCAGATGATGCAGCGATATTTTATCCTAATAACATTTCCTGCGATAGGCTGCTGCAGATTGGGTTAGACACCAATATTTAACAATCAATTTTCAGAAAACCATGTATATGCCTTTCGCAAGCCTTAAAAATAAATTACCATCATTTATCTTTTTACAAATTAAATATGACAATAATCATACATTCAGCGGATAAGCATTCAAAGCCTGGTATCCTTTCAGAGGTTATGTATGAGGGTTGTGCCACTAGTGGTTCCCAGGAGATAGCTAATACATTTGCAAGGTATTTTGGATGAGTATTTCAGTGTCTATACATTCTCCCAGATCACCAAGGCAAGTATCAAAAGGTTAAAACCAAAAAAGGCAACTGATAATGATAACATCCGTTCATATATTTACAAACGGTGTTCAGATATATTGAGTGCCCCATTAATGACAATTTTCAATCTGTCTCTGAGGACAGACACATTACCTGAAAAATTTAAAAATGCATCTGTAACTCCAATATTCAAGTCAGGGATGCCAGTTTAGTTAACAATTACAGGCCTATCACTATTTCTTAATGCTCCTGCAAATATGTTTGGAAGCATATTGTATCAACATATCCTGAACTCGTTCATAAACGAATTTTCTCCTTAACAGCATTGTTTCTTGCCAGGTGCCCCAACTGTTACCAATTTAAACATCTTCACAGAGGCAGCAGCTGAGATTATAGATAATCAACAACAGTTGGCAGTTGTGTTTACAGTTTGTTCCAAAGCTCTCGATAGGGTTGACCATGGCGTGTTGTTAACTAAACTGGGTAAATTTAAAATATTTAAATTCATAACATCATCTAAAGATTGTTAAGGATATAGATTTGGTATCCAACTGGTTTCATGAAAATAAGATGTCGTTAAATATCGACAAATGCCATGTCTTAACTTTTATACGTAAAAAACAATACATAAATTTTACATCAACGATTGAAAATTTGCATGCAACCCTATTTAATGATTTTATTTTGGTAAATTTCATAGTTTATTGATTATAGAATTTCACACGTTTTAGATCTGCCATTCTCAGCGACTCAGTATTGAAATCTTTCTTCTATCTGAAAAATTTCCTCATAAAATATTGTTGGTCCCTCGTAGACAGATTTGTTTCTACCGTCGCTCTGCCTAGTGGCAACCAGTGCGCCACCCTGTGACTTTACACGTACTAGCAGTATAGGGACATTTCGTTCTATCAACATACCTTCTTCAAGGCGATTCATTTAACTTTCTTTTAATGTTTACTTTCCTATCAAGATACCTTCTGTTAAAATTTGATTTACTATCAAGTTATCATCTTTTGAAATGTGATTTACTATCAAGATACCTTTTTCTAATTGCATACCGACGCGTCCAGCGCCATTTTACTTTTGCTTTTCCGCTGTGATTTTGGTTGTGTGCGGGCGTTTTTTTCGTTAACTTCCAGAATTTGGGATATTAACGCCCCAAGCACCAGTTTATGGAGTAGTATCCTTTTATTTTGTACCTTACGTTTAGTTGTGTTGGTTAGGGTACTACCTCGTCCATTTTGTAATGGGATTTTAACCTCCAGCGGTAAGTTCTTTTTGGTATACCATCGGACTACGTCCTTTAATGCTTGTCCTGAAGAAGTTTGTTCAATATCTGATTCCTTTTAGTGGAAAGCCATTGTGGAGAACCTCCATTCACACTCCTTCAGCTTTGTTTTGTAGCTGTCTTGTAGCTGTTTCGCAGCCGATTTTGTTGGAAGCTATCTCTCCCCCTTTATAGAAACCCTGATGTGAACAGGTTTCATATAATTTTAATTGGGTATTTTATATATATTGATATATTGATTGTTGCTGCTGAAATTCTTAGTGTGTTCTTGATTTTGTTTGGCATTTTACGAATTCAAATATAGGGTAGTGCCTACATGTCACTCTCTTTTGGCCTTATTACATTACATTAATCATGATTTTGAATTTTGAGCTGCCATAATTTATTTTAGAACAAGGAATAATTTTCTGAGGGCATATCACTTTGGTATATTTTTATCTTTTCTTGCCCTTGCAGAAATAAAATTAGTTTTCTTGTAAAAGAGAATGTACATGGATTTTTCTTCAAGTTTTGAGTCTTTTAAATGTGTAGTTCTGTTTCAGACATAGAGCAGAGAGTAGATTTTTAAACAGTCCTTTTCTCCCTGTAGGGTTTTTTTATACCATAAATTTTGAGAACGAGGCAAGCAGCCCCTACCTTGTGACGTTCCTTACGTTACTGCTCGCTACTGGCCACTGATTTTTGACCTGAGTTTTTGAGAGCTGAGAACATCACAGCTATGCCTAGAGCTGTAACTGGAGGAATACCATTGTCCAGATAAGTTTAGGTATAGGCGCTAAACTATTTGTAAGGCCTATATTTGTAAAGCCTTCGTACATGTACCATGGTAAACGTTTTGTAGGGTTAGTTATTACGGTCTATTAATTGTATTGTCAGGTAGTTTTTAATAACATCTTTTCTTTTACCTTGCACTCCAGTGGCGGATCACATGTGCTGCTTGTTTTGGCAATATATTGTGATTCTTTTTTAAATATCTTGTTCTATTTGGCTCTCTGTATACAATTAATTAGTTTTCATCATTACTGTTAGATTCTTTTCTTTGTGTGATGGTCAAGCAGAACAAGTTCCGACTAACATCTCGCGTATTTGTGCCTTAATCCGTCTTGAGTCACTGGCGCTCTTAGCCCCCCCTACTCTCCGATTTATTGAGCTAGGGCCTAAATTTGCACGCCACTTGACAGCTGTTTTGCTTTGACCGACCCTTAGATTTAATTTATAGTAATTTACTAATTTATTAATATATTTAAACAAAAAAGGGCGTGGCAAAGGATCTTGGTATCTGCTTCCAAACTTAAAATTTGTCCAGCATTATGAAAACATTGCGAATACATCTTATGAGCTCCTCTACTTCATAATTAGGAATACAAGACATTTTAAGGACATAGATACAATAATAACTTTATACAACACTCTAGTGAGACCTAATTTAGAATACGCTTCAACTATTTGGTCACCACAAACAATGAACCATATATAGATAAGGCAGAAACATTATATATATATATATATATATATATATATATATATATATATATATATATATATATGAGCCCCTTCCCACTTCAGTTGGCCCACTTCAAGCTTTGTACCAAAATATGCCTTTATAAACTAAACATGACGAATCTATTTACTTCTAAAACAATTTATTTTCTAAAAAACATTTTAGATACACTCTAGTCGTAAAAAATACATATTTGAAATCACTTAGACCTATAACTAATAGAACACCTGAACAAATAAACAATGTGCGAATAAATGCGCGAAGTTAACAAAGCAACAATTGAAAGATTACATCACCTTTATTTTTTATTACGGCTGAAATTCTTTGGGGCATAGTGTTAACCAAGTTTTGGCAAAAATTTGGTGTAAAACAATCCCATATTTCTTGAAGCTTTTGTCTCAGTTCGGTGATTGTACGAGCAGGATGTTGTCGTATAACCTTTTTCATCTCGTGCCACAAAGTTTCAATAGGTGACAGATCTGGACTGCTAGAAACCCATTTCAAAAATGGTACATTATTTTCTTCCTTCCATTTTATAGCTTTTTTTGAGGTATGGCACGCTGCACCATCTTGCTGAAACACAAAATCTTAGCCGGATGTCAAACATTCTTCCATCACTGGTAAAAACGATTCTTCTAAAATTGATAAATATTTGTTTGTATCCACATTTCCATCAATAAAATGAAGTTTTCCTACTCCTTTTGATGACATACTGCCCCAGACCAGAATGGATGCTGGAAATTTCACTTTTCTCTTCAGACAGCCAACATGGAATGCTTCACTTTTTTGCGAATAACTCTACTGCGACTGTCACACAAACTTCGAATCGGGCCTCATCACTCCATTGTATTACACACCATTGTTGAGGTGTCCATTGTCCATTGTTCTTTAGCCCATCTAAGCCGATTTTTCTTTTGCAGTGGAGTTAATAGTGGCTTTTCTTTGGCCTATAAACAAGTTGTGCAACTTTAGGGTTTTTACTTCACTTTTTTTTATAAGAAAACTTACCTTGCAAGTGCTAAATCCCAGTTTGTGGGCCTCTCTATGAGTTGTGGACCTCGAAATTCTCCTTCCAACAGCGTCAATCCACAGAGCCCTTAATTGTAATTTAATTGTCACGCCTTTTTTTCACGATTATTCTTCTTAATGCTCTTCGGTCGGCATTTTTGATATTACTTTTTTTCACATATCGTGGCTTAATATTAACTGAACCAGTTACGTTATATCTTCTAACAATATGTCTCACACTGTACCGCGATAAGTCTAACAAAGTTGCAATTTCTGAGTTTGATTTCCCAGAATTAAAAAATTTAATTATCAGTAACCGAATTTTCTCACTAATAACCTTTCCTCTACCCATTTTGAAAACCTTAACTACCCAAAACTATAATAAAAACAATTGTCATGGCTTTTATTTCTCACAGCCACCTATGCGTTATAGACTTATTTTGCATTGAAATGAAAATAGGTTGATATGCTGTAATTCCAACATGTGTTATTTTTATGCTACAAATTCAATTAGGGAGTAATAAAGTTGGTGTTTTCTACTATATATTATCAAAATATTCATTGTTAATATTTTAAACCTATAACACCCTGCTATATTTTTATTATTTGTGTTTGATAAGAAAAAAACTAAGATTTCAATAGTTGGGCCAACTGAAGTGGGAAGGGGCTCGTATATATTCAGTGGACTTCCGGTAATCCGACAAACATTACGCAGGGCAGTGTCCGACTATCGAATTTGTCGGATTATACAGCACTGCCTAAGACCCCCTATAGTCTGGAATTTTTTACAAAAGAGTACCTTGTAATCCGACAAATTACATATCCAATGGTAAGATTATATATGTTATGTATATGTTTGTACTTTGAAGTACAAATCATACATAGTTTATGTATGTCGAATTTAGTAAATTAAATAACAATAGAGAGCTTACGTTTTATTATAAAATTAAGCATAAATGCACATACATATGTACCAAAATAATCAAGAATTATTAATCAAAAACATTAATGAATTTATCAAATTATGAAGCTTGGAAATATTCATCAATTTTTTTTTGTTTAAGGTTGTTATAAGGCGAGATCAGAGCTTTGTCCCTCAGTCTTCTCAAAAGTAACAGTTCGTTGTAGGATGTACATACCTCTTCAGCCCATTGTAAACCTAGCTCAAAGGCGTTAATTGCGTCTTGTGCTGTGACTTGTGGAGCAGTTGCAATCACATCGTCGTTATTTTCCTGATTGTTTGTTGTATAATTGGAAACGTCTTTTATAGTCTCTTCGTCAGAAATTACATGAAAAACCTTTTTGCTCTTTATCTATTCCACGGCACCAGATTTCCAAATCTTCCGGACTTATCTGTGTTTCTGTAGCGACTTGTTATGTAACTTCCGAAGTTACACTGATTTGTGGAATGTTGCTAGGAGTGGTGACTATATCTGGCCATAACTTTTTCCAAGACGATGTAATAGTTGATGACGGTAACGCATGACAAAGAGCAAAAACCAAGTCTTTCATATTAAATTCTTAAAGTTTTTTCTATTGGTTGGTCTTTTGATACGGCTCTCAGAAGTAGGTTTTTCTTATAGTCTTGCTTGACAAATTGAATGATATTCTGGTCCATTGGTTGAATCAGTGCAGTGCAATTTGACGGAAGAAACATTGCAGTGATGCATTTATCCTCAGTTGTTAGTTCTTCTTCAGACGGATGACCGGGAGCGTTATCAAGAAGCAACAACGCTTTTTGAGGAAAATTATGATCTTTTAACCATTTTCTAACTTCAGGTTCGAAGCATTCATCAAACCACTTTTTGCAAAGGTCTTTTGTCATACATGCACTTTTTTGTCCGTAATAGTGTACAGGTAAGGCAAATCAATGTCTTTGAATGCCCGTGGTTTATTAGATTTCCCAATGACCATCATCTTAAGCGCGTGTGTGCCCGCAGCGTTAGCACATGGTAGTATGGTTACACGCTCTTTACTTACTTTTCGTCCAGGTACGGATTTTTCGTTACAAGAAACGAAAGTTTTGTTAGGCATCACACGCCAAAAAAGCCCTGATTCTTCTGCATTGTACAGCTGTGACGGGTCAAAATTTAAATCGTTCACCTTTTGCAAAAATCTTAATTTAAAGGGCTCTATACAGGTGGCATCGTTAGAAAGTTTCTCTCCTATAATAGTCATTAAAACGTATGCCATGACGACTTTTAAAACGTTCTAGCCATCCTTTGGTGGCCATAAAATCATCTTTTTTTATTTGCTTATAAAACAACTTAGCTTTCATGGCCAACATGGGTCCTGAAATTGGTGCATGCCAATTTCTTTCCTGAAGAAACCACATGTACAAAGCTTCTTCCACTTCTGGATGTTCAGCTTTCTTGAGTGTCTGTCTCTTGCTGGCCCGCAGTCAGTAGTTGACACGAACTTCTTGATCTTCTCATGGTTTCTTTTAATGTCATAAATTGCGATTTAAGCGGTCTAAAATATCACATTTTTCTTTAATTGTTAATGTTTTGTTCTTTCGCTTCTGAGTTTGTGATGACATTACTAGGTACTATACTTAATACACAATGAATAAATAGTAAACAATGAACGCACGCTAGGCCATACCGCTATCACAAGTAGTCAATTTCAAACTAAGTAAAACAATGCTTACGCTTCGAGCACGATAGCGGTGGCGTGTACAAGTTGTAACGTGTTCAAACCTGCGTGATCTACATTTGCGAAGGTTGTCAAATACGTATGTATGTAATATTCAAAGACATGTCGGATTACAGGGGGCGGATTAGACAGGGGCCGGATTATCGGGGGTCCACTGTATATCCTTTTATGATCTCATGAAATAAAATGTTGAGTGAACTTAAAATGGTCAAGTTAAGTGGTAGGCGAAGTTAATCGTTTAAATCGACCGGGACCCATTTTCCATTTGCTTTGTGATTTCAGCTTACTTTTCAAAAAATAAAATCGCTGTATATTCACGTGATCTTTCTAACTTTACATGAATGACAATGACTACCTAAAGGTTATAGAAATAAAACTATTTTGCATACCCACATTGTTGAACAGTCGAAGGCAATCAGGAGAAATTTGTTGGGATTTGTATTGAAAGAGTCTGCATACTCTACGCCTTTAAGTAAATACTTCAATTCTGGACAAATGAAAGCATTTCCAGCATAGGCTGCATCTACGTGAAGCCACACTCCTGGAAATTTCTGACAAACTGGTCCAATCTCCTATAACAGAACGTTCGGAGTTACAACTTAACGATTTTTTCTGGATGAAGTTGAACATAAGATAGTGTAGTAGTGTAGTGTAGTGTATGTAGTGTAGTGTAGGACACAATTTAGTCTATTTCCACAGATGTTGAACTTTTTAAACAGTAAAATCTCCCATGCTCACGATTTTCTGTCACAGTAATCAAAATTTTCAATCGTTGGAAAACGAAATATATTTTTTTGAATTTGTTGGTATCTTTTTCATTATTCAGTATTTTCCTCCGGTTACATTGCACTTTTGGACATGTGCTACTTCTGTATTGGAAACTGTCGTAAAGATTTATTTCAATAAAGTCAACCAATGAGATATCTGCTTGAAGATTTTTGATGAATTCCGTTTTTTATGAGCCTATGAATGAAAACGATGAGGCAATTTATGAATGCTTACCTGTAAGTTATCAAATGAAGCGCATGAAGTTGTACCTAGTGTTGTTGAAACGAAGAATGGTATCAGTCCCATAGTTTCATCTTCTTCCATCGCCTGAAATCATACAAAAGTAATAGCATTTTTGAGATAATATCAAAAAATGGTGAGAGTGTCATCTAGTTCCTACTAGACCATAGTGGTTCAAAAGTCCTAAAATATGACCAGGACTAGAAAGATTCACTGAATTTCACCAAAAAAACTTTATGTACATATTTTAAGGTTCGCTGATAACGAAAACGATATACATTTGTCAAAAATCAAAATGGCGGATGCATCGTGACGTGACGGTCATGTTTGCAAACAAATGTTTCGATTTCACTCGAATTTGAGTATTGTATGTTTTAAGAAGGGCTGATGACAAATTTAGAATCGCTTGCCCAAAAATCAAAAAGGCCGATCCAATATGGTGGACATAATCGCAAAAGCGTTTTAATTGCGTTCAATTTTGAGTTGTATGTCAAGATATTCTGACAATTATTGTATATGTAATCAGCCAGTATCGTATATACGGAGGGCAGGAGGGCGGTCTGAAGTACTGATCATATTCTGGGCAAACTTGCCAATCTTAGGCGAGCTATACTAAGTGACATATAAATCCGAACACCCAGTTTAAATGGTTTTATTTTAATAAAATTTTGTATAACTACTTAATGAAGCATAATAAGTAAATGATAACAATTTCAAAATGATTGCACTGCTTTAAAGCCCTTTGACCTTTAATAATGTGTGGATGCACCCTGATGTGCTACGCATTCTCCAACGCGCCTAGGCATGCTTCTGATCAGGTGGTCAATGTCCTCCTGTGGTATCTCATTCCAGGCAACCACCAACTCCTCTCGAAGTGCTTCTAGAGTATGAGGAGGACGTTGCAAATTGAGCAATCTCCTACCCATCATATCCCACACGTGCTCAATTGGGGATAAGTCGGGAGATCTTGGTGGCCATGGTAACAATGTGACATGATTATGTTGGAAGATGTCTATTGTGACTCTTGCAACATGTGCTCGGGCATTATCTTGTTGGAAAGTTGGATCTGCCAGGGTGTCAAGATAGGGTAAAATATGGGGTTCTAGAACTTCGTGGATATAACGCTGTTCATGTTACCTCTGATGAAGATTAAAGGTGACCTGGAACCATAAGCTATAGCACCCCAAACCATAACTCCAACAGTGTGATGAACATGTCTTTCAACAAAAAACTGTGAATTCCTCCTTTCACCACGTCGCCTTCTAACCCTGGCACGACCATCGTGCATGCCTAAACAAAATCGAGACTCGTCACTAAAGACAATACTGTTCCATTCCTGATCCCAGAGTAACCGTTGTCTGCACCACTCAAGGCGATTACGTCGGTGTTCTCGAGTTAAAGGGAGGACCCAGTGTGGCCGGTATGAAAACAAGCCAAAACTTCTCATTCGTCGGTAAACACTTTGCATTCCAATAGTTCTTCCGTGTTCTGCAAATTCATTTGCAATGGACCTGGTAGTGGAGAAACGGTCCCTTAAGGCCAATAATCTTAGGCGGCGATCTTCACGGTCTGTTGTTCTACGGCGGCATCCAGTGCCCCTTGCTCTTTTTGCTCTTTGCGTACGGCCTTCTCGAAGCCATGCCTGACAACATCTAACCACAGTGTCTACACTTCTTTGCACTCTAACTGCAATTGCCGAAAAGAAAGTCCAGCTTCCCGAAGTCCCACTATACGGCCCCTATCAAACTCACTAAGTTGACGAAATCGTACAGATCTCCGTACTCTAGGCATCGTAACCGATCGTAAAGGATGTCAAGAACCAAAATCCGCCAACGTTGATTCTTTACTGCGGCTGGAATATTCATTTTTAGAGCGTTAGTGAATTGACAAAAAGCAGTATAAAAACCGGAATGTCCAACTGATAAGGCTGAAAATTTTTTCACTTGTTATTTACAGTAAGATAAATACATTCACCAACTTTTATTAAAATAAAACCATTTAAACTGGGTGTTCGGATTTATATGTCACTTAGTATATCTGTCTTGACGAACTAGAGGCTTCGTAATGGGAGGGACCAGAAAAGTTTCAATCGGATTAACAAAGCTTTTTGGTTCTTCATAACAGCCGCGGTGCCCTGGCATCCAGGCTTCTGGCTGAACGGCAGCCTCGGTGTAAGACAATAGGTTTCTAGGTCCAAAACATTAATTTCAGCCACGGATAACACTGTATCGTGTTTGACTTCTTTTCTTGATTTGCAATTAAGTATCGATAGGTGTGACAGAATGTGTGTATAGGTTTTGAAAATCACAGGTGGTCGCCTCAAATATTTTTAACCTGTTTTTTAACGCTTTAATGGTCACTTTAAACCAGATGGAGGGATATACAGTGCTTTTCAAAAAGGCCCCCTACTTATTTTTCGAAAGGGTCAAGCCAGCAGGCTAAAATTTGGGGTACCTAATGAAATTGATACATGAATAGGTACTATATTTTAACGTGAAGGAGGCTGTTGCAGGTTGCAGGATGGCAGCTGGCCAAACTTTTTTTTAAATTGAACGAGGAGGCGTGTGATAACTCATTTTGAAGCTCCAAAAGATAAAAGCACCATCTTTCAAAATGACGAACTGATAAGCTTTTAAATTCCAATAATCAAAACGCTATATATGTAAAGTTTCTTCTCTTGGGGCGGTATATTCGACTATGTAATAAAATTTGGGACATATTATTCAAAAAACTTGTCAAAATCTCTCAACGACTAGGTCTGAATATCCTATATTTAATTGGACATCCAGATAGACCCCAAAAAAAGAAGATTGATATAAGGTTATTGTAATTTTTAGTTGAGTACGAGGGCGGTCCGCTACGTACTCAGTCTCACCGCCCGATGACGCTGCTATCGCAAGAGAAATTTACCATTGTGTAGTACAGTCTCGTAGATGGCTACTGTGAAAATTTCAGCCGAATCGGATTCGAGCTTTTCTTTTGTGTGGAGCAGGCGTATCCGCGGATTTGAAAAAAATGGAAAAAAGCAATATCGGTCGTTGATTCGGTTCTTGCTTTTGGAAGGGAAATCGTACAGCGGAATCAGAGAGCGCTTGAATGCTACGTACAATAACTCTTCTCCTGAGATGGCGACCATCAAAAATTGGTTCAACGTTTCACCGTGGTCGCACGTCGGTTTTTGATGAGCCACTCCCAGATACCCTAAAAACTTCTACCATGGAGGATAACGTGACAAGAATCTGCGATCGCGTTCTGGCAGATCGCCGATTAATATACTAAGTGACATATAAATCCGAACACCCAGTTTAAATGGTTTTATTTTAATAAAATTTTGTATAAGTACTTAATGAAGCATAATAAGTAAACGATAAAAATTTCAAAATGATTGCACTGCTTTAAAGCCCTTTGACCTTTAATAATGTGTGGATGCACCCTGATGTGCTACGCATTCTCCAACGCGCCTAGGAATGCTTCTGATCAGGTGGTCAATGTCATCCTGTGGTATCTCATTCCAGGCAACCACCAACTCCTCTCGAAGTGCTTCTAGAGTCTGAGGAGGACGTTGCAAATTGAGCAATCTCCTACCCATCATATCCCACACGTGCTCAATTGGGAATAAGTCGGGAGATCTTGGTGGCCATGGTAACAATGTGACATCATTATGTTGAAAGAAGTCTATTGTGACTCTTGCAACATGTGGTCGGGCATTATCTTGTTGGAAATTTGGATCTGCCAGGGTGTCAAGATAGGGTAAAAGATGTGGTTCTAGAACTTCGTGGATATAACGCTGCGCGTTCATGTTACCTCTGATGAAGATTAAAGGTGACCTGGAACCATAAGCTATAGCACCCCAAACCATAACTCCAACAGTGTGATGAACATGTGGATTCCTCCTTTCACCACGTCGCCTTCTAACCCTTACACCGACGTAATCGCCTTGAGTGGTGCAGACAACGGTCACTCTGGGATCAGGAATGGAACAGTATTGTCTTTAGTGACGAGTCTCGATTTTCTTTAGGCATGCACGATGGTCGTGCCAGGGTTAGAAGGCGACGTGGTGAAAGGAGGAATCCACAGTTTTTTGTTGAAAGACATGTTCATCACACTGTTTGAGTTATGGTTTGGAGTGCTATAGCTTATGGTTCCAGGTCACCTTTAATCTTCATCAGAGGTAACATGAACGCGCAGCGTTATATCCACGAAGTTCTAGAACCCCATCTTTTACCCTATCTTGACACCCTGGCAGATCCAACTTTCCAACAAGATAATGCCCGACCACATGTTGCAAGAGTCACAATAGACTTCTTTCAACATAATGATGTCACATTGTTACCATGGCCACCAAGATCTCCCGACTTATCCCCAATTGAGCACGTGTGGGATATGATGGGTAGAAGATTGCTCAATTTACAACGTCCTCCTCAGACTCTAGAAGCACTTCGAGACGAGTTGGTGGTTGTCTGGAATGAGATACCACAGGAGGACATTGACCACCTGATCAGAAGCATGCCTAGGCGCGTTGGAGAATGCGTAGCACATCAGGGTGCATCCACACATTATTAAAGGTCAAAGGGCTTTAAAGCAGTGTAATCATTTTGAAATTTTTATCATTTACTTATTATGCTTCATTAAGTACTTATACAAAATTTTATTAAAATAAAACCATTTAAACTGGGTGTTCGGATTTATATGTCACTTAGTATATATCCAGAACAAGGAATTGCGTATAATTTTTTGTTAAGCCTTTTTGATATTGACAGTTTGGAGGTCAGACAGACTATCGTCCTTTTCATTCCTTTATAAATTGATGTGTGATGTTATTGATTAACCAGATCTTTTATCGCGCATTAAATTTAAGGTAACTGAGTTTTACTCTAGACAGTAATCAATATTTTATTCTCCTGCTGCTAGAACCAATCTAATGTTGAAATGACCATTATCAGTAATGTAATAAGATATCGCAGCTTGTTCATGTATTCAATTGTAAACTCAAGGGACTAAATTGTGCTGCTAAGAATATATCACAAAATACTTATGGATAGTATAGCTTTTTTTATTTTATATTGCTCTGTAAACGGATTCTGTATCTGTTGGGCAATAAATGCTATTATTATTATTATTATTATTATTATTATTATTATTATTATTATTATTATTATTATTATTATTATTATTATTATTATTATTATGATTATTATTATTATTACTGTTAGTATTAAGTTTAAAAACATCCATAGAACTTTTATGAGCTAGAGTACATGAGGGCTTAATCGTATGTGGATGATGATCACATCAGCTTGGCGAAACCCTTGGGAGGTGGCTATCGATAGCTTGCGAACAGTGTTTCGAGTTTTCCAAATGACCATATTCTTTTGTTTGCTTACTGATTCGTCCGTCTCCACGACTAGACCTAAGACCTATACCGCACTGATGGGTTGCTAATGAGCACGAAACCGCGCTGTCTGCGGCTGGTAATAGTTACAGGAGACGAAAAGCAAACATGCCCTTTTCAGCCAAAGCATTGTATGTTATAATAGGTAAATACAATCAGTAACAGTGAGTAGATGAATGCGGTTCCATTATATTCTGGCTTATTAATTTCATATAAAGAATCATATTTTTCTGAGAATTTCATTTAGCGAACAGAACAAATATTTATAGGAAAAGAATCAACTTGGAAGATTCCAACTTATATTTGCCCTGGATGATAGACAGCCCTTATATTGAGCTTAACCGCCCTCCACCTCCGTCCTTTATCAATTGCCAATTTCATAACATGAGTTGCTTGGAAAGATCAAATGCAAGGGATTACATCTTGTATGACAAAAGAATGCAGCTAATTTAAGCTCCCCGGTTTTCTCATTGGTTCTCTTTTACCCTAAGTCTAAGGAGCGGCAACACATAATCCTCTTTTGCAGTATATGGGCTCGAAAACTTGTCCGTCTTTTATAGTTCAGCATACATTTCTCGAAAGCATATTGAGATACTGAGATGACTATTGGTACCTGCAAATACATTACTGAAGCTTACTTTTTAAAATTGTTTGTTAAGTATTTAATTCAGTGGCGTTCAAACAAGTCTCTATATTTAGTCAAAGAACGGTTCCCCACTAGTTTTTATGAAAATAGCGACATCACCAATGGCAAGTAAAGCACATGGACTATAATAGCTGCTATACACTCTTACGGTGGTCCATTTTGATAATAGATGGTGCTTTGCTTATTCCGACGTTATTATTTACCAACCCAATATGTCATTTCGGTGAATAATGGTTAGTAGTGAACGTATTGTTTTATTGTCAAGTACAGCAATCTGTTTATTGTTACTGAAAAGTAATAATCAGACTGTCATTCTTTAGCGAACATAATGAAAAACTCCAAGAGACACTTTTCAAACAAGATCTACTCATATATGGCTCTGAGAAAATAATACTTATTTTTGCAGAAATCAATGGCGCACAATTTACTGAGCATTTTGTAAATGTATGATGCAATTGGGTACGCCTAACTAGGAAGCTAGTACCTCGGAAAATTTGGCTCTATATGCTCAGATATTGATCATGCACAAAAAATAGAAGAACACCATTCACTATAAGTTTTCTGTGGGATCTTTTGCTTTCAGAACCTTCCAGCCCACAAAAAATCGCGCGCATACTGAATTTTAACAAACACGATCCGAGTAGATATGTACAGGGTGTCCCGCAGTAAATTGACTCCCATCTTACCTTTTTGTGTGGCTATTTTTATGTTTTATATAAAAATTGTAGTGTATAATATAAAGTTTTACGAGCAATGGCTTTTTCATATGCAGGGTATCCCAGAAAAGTTGTATCAAGAGAAGTTGTAGCTTCTCAAATGGAATAAAGCCCTATATATTTTTAAAAATGGTAGTCGCTTTTTCTCTGATTCCAAATATGTGTGGTTTATCATTATTGCATAAGTTTGATCAAAGACAAACTTGTGTGTCATTTTGACTAAAAATATACATTTAAGCAATATAATTTAATAACGATAGCTCTCCTCCATATAACCTGTGTATACGAGTAAAATATACATTTCTTAAATTTCCTAAAACATCATGCAAAGAGGTTGAGAGGGGGTCAATTTGTAGCTGACACCCTGAAGCTGATTATGTGATGTGCTCTGCAGGAATCAAAAACTTACCATCATAAGTGTCTTTCCTCTCAAAGCATTCTTTTCATCAGGCTCCAATATCCTCAGTTTAACGAAACATATCATGGCCGCCTTTTCTACACACGAGTGGGCCTCTTTGGAGCAGTAGGCTATGAGTTTTGACAGAAGGACTCCGTCTTCAACCATCGGGTACTGCTTTTTCAGTCTCACCAACATGTGGGCTCTAGCGGCTAGCATTGAGACAAGCACACATTCACTGGCTGAGCCCTAGAACAGTCGAAAATTGTTAAAAATGAGTCTTTCTCAAAGTGGGCGATAACGCGCTACTGGGGACATACGGAGAGGGGGGGGGCAGAGAGCTTAGACGATATATGTTACACCAGAAAATGTTCGCACAGGCTGCTACAATAGGTTAGGTTACTGTCAAACTCAAGAAGGAGGTCACTTGGAATAATTTAATATTTTGTTTCCATTTTGATTAGAATTATTTATTTATTCCAATTTTGATGCGACTTAGTGTTTTAATTTATTTTAGAATTACCTGTGATTTCGACCGATGGTGATAAAATCAACACATCCTGAGTTATTGTTACATTTTGTGACAGCGCTGCGGCCGAAAAATGTAACAAATAACGTTACGCACTACAAACCACTGCCTGCGTGTTCGCAGGTAAAAGTCATTTAGAAGCAGGACGATACTCCTCTACGAGCGCTAGATGAGTACTGACCAAAAGCGCTCAACTATGATCATAGAGGTGGAAACCTTGCCTTGGAATGTACCAGCGGTGTTATCAAACGAATCAATGATGCAATGTTGCAGAATTTCTGGCGATCCTGACCTTTCACTTCGATCTAAAATGCGGTGATGAGCTTGACTAATTAGCAAACACATCATCAGCAAAATTCGCGGCATGGGTTTTATTGGAGCTAAAGCAATAATGGTGAAGAGTAGAACAAAAAAGAAAAAGAGTAATGAAGGTGTTCCTTAGTACCTGGATGACTCCTCCTCCAATGCTCCCTTCTTTATTACTTAAAAATTGGTCTGGTAGCCCTATAGCTTTACCTGAAATAAAGTAACATGAGTAATCGTGAAGCTTACATTTATGACAGCTTACCAAACCAGTCTAGCATTATTGTCTCTAGTTCTGTACATGCTGGACTTGCAGCCTGAAAATAGTTCATGAAGAGTAGATGAATATGTATGTATTTATGTAATTCAGCATCTGCACTTAGATTTTATATTTGAAATTTGGTACATCACACAAGGAAATCCGGCTAAAATGTAAAATTCTAACATCTCATTCATATACTATCGAACAATTTCAAATACACGAGGTGCATTTAGCGATTTTTCAGGTTTTCCAAATTCTCTACTGAAATTGTTTAAGCTTATAACTTTAGATGGGTTCATAGGGAATTATCCAAGGGCCCAGTGGAAAGGGATTCGATGCAATTTTTTATGTTAGTATGAGGAGATCTGAGGCAACCTAAGAAGATCCGGGGTTTCTAAACTACTGTGAGGAAATCCGAAGTAATCCAATATGTTCACAGGCAATTTAAGGAGATTTGAAGTACTTCAAGGTAATATGAAGCAATTCAAGGAGATCCACACCCTGTACAGACCCAGAATCTGCCTTGAAGTTGCTAAAAAGCAAAATAAGAAATCAAGTCAAAGAATGGGTAAGAAGGAAAGGGGAAAAAGGAGATCCGGGGTAACAAAGATTTCCTATCCTAGTGTGAGGAAAGATCCAGAGTAATCCAAAAAATACAATGTTTAGAGTCAATTTAAGGATATCGAAGGAAATTTTGGGCAATTCATTGAGATGCGAGGGTATAAAAGAGTTTTTATCCCAGTGTGAGGAGATCCGAAGGGATCCTAGAAGATTCGATATTTAGAGACAAATTTCGGATTGAATATAATTTGTAGCGTTTCTCTGGGTCCTTTTGGGTGTGGATTAAAACACTGGATTCCACAGAAAGAAATGCACTAATTTATTTAACTTGATAAAATATTTATATGCTCCACTATTTATGTCTGACTAATTCTAATGTCACCATTTACTGTACTATACTTAACTCCGCTCGGCTACTTTACCGTATTCAGTACTCTCCCATCTCCCGGCCGCCGAGTTATATAGTCCGCATCGTTGAGTCTAGAAGAATCGGGAGCCACATAGCGGCCTTCCCGAATAGTCGAGGTTGCTTCGCGTCAACCTAGATGGCGATCAGCAGCCAGGTGGCTGGTGCGGTCGTGATTCGCGTAAAAGTAGAGATCGGCCATGAAGCTCTAGCGAGTAGGAGACTCGCCCAACAGATGGCGCCGACAGTATGATTCGTCACAAATTCATGCAGGTCTGTATCAATTAAAGGAGACCCCAGGCTATTCAGGATTTTCTGTCCCAATGTGAGGATGTCCGAGGCAATCCATGAAAACCGGATGTCCATAAGCAATTTAAAGAGACAATTCAAGGAGATCCGTTGGTATCCGAGATTTTCTATTCCAGTGAAAGGTGATCCGAGACATTACAAGGAGATTTTCCCACTTCGCACCAAAGAAGTAATACAAGGAGACAACATCTGTATATCGGCATGCACAGGAAGTGTTTACATCGCTATTCTAGCCCATACTTTCTAGTTTTCAAATTTTTCAGTAAATTATATCAAGAAATCTGGGAAAATTCAAGAATGATGTCCAAGGAAATCCAAAAAACTTAAACTCTTTTGTTAGTGTTAGCGACTAATCCCCTAAAGTAATCCTAGTGTGTTTGAGAGAGTTTGGTCGTCAGATTAAGTCTTATATTTTACCTGGAAATAATCATTTTGAGCGTTTTTTTTTTATCAAAAACATTCTTCTTGTATCTTCGAAAATCGCCAAAGGTCATAATAGCCAGGATAGTCCAAAAATTGACCCATGCTTAGCATAAGTATACTGATGTTAGCCTCACCCAAGAGAATCCCATAGCTCCAATAGCATCCGAAAGCATATCAGCCAAAATAGAAGGAAACGAATTTCCACTAGGAAAGTAAGCATGAAACCTGGGATGTTGCCAATGGGTGATCCCAGGCATGATCTTCTTCTCTATGTCTTCCATGATGACGTCCCAATCTTCGGGCTCCACTGGGGCTTCATCTGGCAGGAGCGGGCGCAGGTAATTAGGTTCAATGTTTGGTATCACCCTTCGCTGGTTCAGGGTCTCCAGGTATTGGCAGATGTAGTCGATCATCACTTTGCCTTGGGTGCGGAACTCATCGCAGTCCATGCTGGAAAGCAAAGAGATTAGGTCAAGTCAAAAGTGTACCCGTGGAGTTATGAATCTGACTAGGGGGAGGCGCAGTGGTCGTCGCAGCATTCATTTTCAGGAAGACGAAGGATTACTCGTATCATTGGCTACTGACAATTCAAAAATGGAGGTGGAGGCTACATGCTCAAGCAGCGCTTCTGTGAGCGAAGTATGTCCTTGTGACGATTGAAGAGCGGGGCTGGGATACATTTTTGGTGGGCAGGAAGAACATGTCTCATGTCAAAGTGATCACTTGAGATAAGCAGACTGGATTGTCTGAAATCAAATTCTTGCTATAAATGAACACTTTTCAAGAATATTAATTATGCTTCCATGTTAGTTCTAGCTTAACAGAGTGTATTTTTTTATTTACCTCATTTGTAGTAAGTGAATTAAGTATTTAATTATCGCACACATAAGCAGCATATGAGAATATTCCACTGTTCTGGTAGAATAGTTCATAAAATGTTTCAAAAATGGAAATTCTGATAAAGTGTGACGCGTTGCACCTTATATTCAGAGAGTCGTCAGATCGTATGCAATGCCTTATCTAGTAACGTAATTTACAAAGAAACGACAAATGTCGATGGTAAATGTTCTGTCATGTAGAAAGCTTAATGTTTTCTTGTTTATAGAGTAGTTTTGATTCCAGGATCTATTCAATTTTCCTGTGTTTTCTTACAAACTAATACTTATAACTAGAGGCCAAACATTGATGCCTTTTACATAATATTCACTTATAATTAACGCTATCACGAAGAACTAGAAATTTGTTCAATATCTACTTCCTTTTAGTGGTAAGGCATTAAGGAAAACCACCACTCCTCCAGCTTTGTAGCTGTCTTGTAGCTATTTTGTAGCCGATTTTACTGGAAGCCACCCCTTTCTCTTGAGAAAAAACCCTGATGTGAGCAGGTAAAATATCATTGTAATTAACTCTTTTATATATATTTATATATTGATTATTGTTGACTAAAATTCTTACAGTGTACTTGTTTTTTCTTAGCATTTTCCGTATTCAAATATGAGGCAGTGCCGATCTGGCTGAGCTGAGCTTACTTCATACATGAATCATGATTTTGATTTTGAGCTGCCATAACTTTTTTTAGAACAAGGAATAACTTTCTGAGAGTATATTACTTTAGTATATTTTTCTGTTTTTGCCTTGGCTTTATTTTTCTTGTAAAAATGTACATGGTTTTTTAAGTTCGAGTGCTTTAATGGGTAGTTTTGTCTCAGACAGAGAATAGAGAGTAGATTTAAAAAAAGTATTTCTCTCTGTAGGGTTTTTTATTCCGTAAATTTTGAAAACGAGGCAAGCAGCCCCTATCTTGTGACGTTCCTCACATCACTACCCACTACTAGCCTCTGGTTTTTAACCTGAGCGTTTGTGAGGACATCTCGGCTGCGCATAGAGCCGTAACTGGAAGCAGACCACTATCCAGATAAGATCAGGTTTAGGCGCTAAAATATTTGTCAAGCCTCCGGCGTATACCAGGGTATACGTTTTGCAGGGTTAATTATGACCGTTTCATAATTTTATTGTGTGACAGTTCTAAATAATATCCTTTTTTTAACTTGCACTTTAGTGGTGGAACATATGTGGTATTAAATCAGTTAATATATTGTGATTTTTTTAAATCTTGTTTTATTTGGCTCTCTGTACAGTTAATTAGGTTGCGTCATTGCTGTTAGATTGTTTTATTCTGTGCGGATGGTCAAGCAAAACAAGTTCCGACTAGCATCTCGGGGATTCGTGGCTTAATCCGTCTTGAGTCACTGGCGCTCTTAACTGCCCCTACTCTCCTCTTTATTAAGCTAGGACCTAAATTTGTAGGCCACTAGAGAGCTGCTTTGGATCATCTGACCCTTAAATTTTATTTATAGTGTTTTATTAACTTACTAATTAATTAATTTAAAAAAAAATTAAAGAGGAATCACATCACCATTTTCTCTTGTTTATAAAAAAAGTCGTGGCAAGTACTTCATTTGTTTTGATATGATGCTTTCACCTTGGCCCCCAATTATACCTATAATAGTACCAGTAATGCTTATTCAGTCCGTAAAGCATCGTGTATCGATTTCAACTTGTATAGCCTAATCTTCTGCCTTTGAGTCCATTTCTCTAAATTACTGGTAGCAGTATGTTGTTAGTTCGCTAGTATAATTGACAGATTTGCAAGAAAGATGCAGACGCAATCTACTTGACGCCATTTTTATAACTGTCCAGAAATAATATCTACCATATCAATACGAGATTTACTCACTGAATAATCAGTCTAAATTAACAAAACAACATTTTTCCATGAAAGTATATTCCAAAGTTATAATGTCAGATTTTAATACGTTAGGGCAAATTGGACCAATTGCTGAATAACTGTGAACACAAAATATTAATCTTTTTACTCTGATCCGATTTATCCATTGATCCGATTTCCCTCGGCCTACCCTACTCATCAAAAACAAGTCGCACCTGCTTCAAACTAATTTCTAATTCCTAGGAACACCACCTGCCTTCTGCATTTTTTGCATACAACAATTACCACGAATTCTAGTTGCAGATCGGCGTCATTATTCAGGTTACACTTCTTGCGTAGAGAAGATATGATGTCTTAAATTAATGTTTTTTCATGTATTCGGTTATTCTTTGTTGAACGTCGTAATATGCTTCAATGTCCGTGATTTGTTACTGTGGATGTTCGGAATATAATGTGTAACGTTTTTCAAATAAATTGCAGTCAGTTTTTGAGGTTAAGGTTGAGATAGATCTTCGCAGACCGTGAATACCGTTTTTTAACTTTTGAACAATAGAAACTGTGTGTAGTATGGACTTGGAAATGTGTACTAGAGACCTTGATGGATGTTACCTAGGTGTGTTTGCCTCCAGCTAAAATCGGTAAGTCAAAAGAAACATACTTTTTTCTGAACTTTTCCTTAATTCTTGACATGTCATTACCTTTTCTAGTTAATATAGAGGTAGAGCAGTAATAAGTAGTAAAGAAAGCATGAGCAAAAAATGGCTTGCAAGTTTTACAGTAGAAAACCTACTATATCCCTAACCCTAATCATTATGACTTCGAACTTGAGTCATTTATTTTAACAGTGAGTAGATCTTATCAAAAGAAATGTTTTTTCCTTTAACATTTTTGTGGTAAAATTAAAGTAACAAAGTTATAGCCCTTTAGAAGTTTGAGTACCGCCCTGTCTCAATAATACTATTATGTGCTCGTGTTTGGCAACAACGGATATAATCCGCCTTATCGGTTCATCGCATCGGAAACAAAAAAGCGAAAGAATTTGAAACGCTTATCACGATGTTTTTACTACAATTTTATTCAGTTGTATTCAGTCAATGTGTCAGTCGGTAACGCGTGAGTGAATAGTGGTGTTTGTTGCGTGGCTCAAACGAAATAAAAAATGGCACATATTTACGAAAATGCTGAACTTGTGGACATGATTCTTATTTACGGGGGGGGAGTCTTTACAAAATGCTGCCGCGGCATCACGGATTTATGCGGATCGGTTTCCCAATCGAGTGCAACCAACCCTTCGTGCCTTTGTTAATGTAGTACAAAGGGCTCGTGAATCAGGTGACTTAAGACCTCACAGGGGAGGGCATGCCGGTGCACCAAGACCGCACGATCAAATACAGGTCCGCACTGAAATACTTGTCGGGAGGATACTTTATTTTTTTTTTATTTTTAACACATATTTTGGTTTATCTTCCTTCTACAATTATTATCTGAAAGTTAATGACTCAACTTCAAAGTCACCCTGTAGAATTAATCAGCTAGTATCGTGTTATTATAATAATCTTGTAGCCCAGAAGTAAAGAGTCGTAATTCGTAAAAGCAATGTTACGACTAATGAGAAAAACAAGTAAGGTATCACAAGTTTAAATGGTCGTTTTACATTTTTATAATTACATACATTGATAACCAACCATTTGATGCTTACATTTGCTAGCTACAATAAAAGCCAAAAAGCCAAAATAACGTAATTCAATGATGATATTAACTCGGAATTGTAACAAACTGTACTTAACAACTGTTTACCTCGGAGCTATATGTATATACAAAATTAATTTAATGTTCGCGACACCGCACGAAGTTTTAATGCACCTTAAAATATTGGGCGGATATTGATACAGCATATTTTTTCATCGTTACACTTACGAGGTCATTTAAAAAAAGCTTTGTTTTTTGAATGTCTATTGTAGAATCTACGAATTATAGGTCTTTGTACTGTTCAAAGTATTGGTACTACTCGCTTATGCGTGATTGTACGAATACTAAGCAAATTCAAAGGTAAGTTGATAAATCAAATAATATAAAATTATCAAATCAACAATTACTTGAATGTATGTATATAGAAAAAGTGTCATACGTATCGTGACACATTGAACCAGCTAAGTATTGTCTATATTTTGGATTTATTTGATGTTTTTGGAAATTAGGGGTACGGGAATGATGACCTGTACACAGGAATGACAAATTATCAAATCAACAATTACTTGAATGTATACAGAAAGCGTCATAGGTATTGTGACACGTTGAACCAGCTAAGTATTGTCTATATTTTGGATTTATTTGATGTTTTTGGAAATTAGTGGTACGGGAATGATGACCCGTGTACAAAATTTGAAAACGGCAATGCCAATGCACGAAAAAGGTGGTACAATATGTAGGGATCTATTCAACAATCCTGTTTCAAATAAATCCACTGAAAATACTATTCATTTCCAAACTACTCTTTAAAATGGGGTTTGGCATTTTCACAGTTGTTGAAGTTACGCATAAGGCAGTTTTTACCATATGTGTTGTATTGTATTGTTTAGGTATATCATTGGGAGTTTTTCATGAAAGCTAAATCATTTACGTACAGACCTTGAACAATCATTTTCATATTGGCATGTGCAAAACATTCACAAGTATATCTATCACAAATTCTCGTAGGGTTAACATAGAAAGGTCTAGCAAGGCAAAAAAATGTGTCACTTATTTTGAAGGTAGGATAAGCAAGTAGAAATTTTCGATAAACGTTCTTCTAGGTGTTTGAGAAGAAACGTTCCTGTTTTGTTACTGCATTTTTCTTTCACAAATCCTTTAGTTTTGAGAAGTGTTAAATCCTTTAATAAGTCATTCTTTTTGGACATTTCTAACCTTTTTTTCTGAAATTTGTTCCATCTATCTTTTTGAAATTTGATGATTTTCGAAATTTCAAGACTGTGGAAAGTTTGGTCCGTA